GTATTTAGCCGGATAATTAAAGGTCTACTCGATAAGTGAATCACATTTTTTTCTGAAAATAAAAGCAATTCATTTCCCACACTTAAAAACAAGTCACGCAGGAAATCATTATTTGTGCAGCTAACGACATCAGTTTCATGCTTAGAGGAAAAAACGGAAAACATTTCTTTATGTTCTGTCAATTATTATAATAGTAACACAAATGTTGCTTATGAGCGTAAATCCTGAGCCACACGCAGCTCTCTGGTAAATTAGGAAAGATACCATTTTCACATCATGTCCACCTGACCTATTTTAATGTGTTTCAGCTAAATCACCTTCACTGTAGAGGGCAGGGACCTGCTGGTGCCCTGCAGATTAGACTTCCTAATGAATGCTTGGGTTATAAAGAAGAAAACCCCCACTACAGAACCACACACCTTTCTCTGGTATGCACTGCAAGGCACACACCTTCATATTTCAAACGATGCTCCAAGCGAATTTAGGGTATTTTATTCCATACTTTCGATACAGTTGATTTAAGCATTTAAGGTATTAAAGGAGAATTTACAGCACTAAGTATAATGGTGCTTGTAAAAATGTTAAACTGCAGGTTCAGTGGAGGGAATAGCAATCCTTACTGACATTACTTACATGTATCATTGGCCAATTCTGAATTATAACGTTCACACACAGTTTTCTTTCCAGTGTATCTGAACTAATCGCAGCGACATCTGAGGTTCAGAAAGGTTGCAAAATAAAAAACACGACAGACAACTTCACTTTAGGCATCCTACACTCTGACTTCTCTTCAGAGGACACAAGAGAGAATAGATAAAGAAGTATATCTTTATTTCCATCTTTATCAGTGATTCTGCAGAGTGTAAAGTGGGGGAAAGCAAGATACGGTAATAAGGGTTTTAACAGTTTTTGGGTCACACATGGGCCATATTGCACTGCAATATTCCGATACAGAAAAAATACTGTACGTACATTTGATATATTTTAGTAGAAGAATACTCAACCTTCTAACCTGTTAAGCACCGCCCCCCGATACCGGGGGAAAAACGCGTCATCTGAGGAAACAGTGTCTGAGGGCATCTTAATATTTAATAAACTATGAATGTACATATATCCATGTAACGGGAAAAACTCATCTAACTGATCATTTTTATTTATTTTTCAAAATAAAACCCACAATGCTAACGCTGAGCCTCTGAATTAGCAACGAGCGAAAAATGCTAACAGATTACTGCACCGAAATTCACTCACAAAACCTTATTATTTATCTTTTCTGCACATCCAACACATCGTTTCACATCGTGAGATGACATAGAATCGAAGGGTACATACATTATCACTCAATTATACGAACTCGCGACTTTATAAACAAAAACAGACATCAAAACATGTGGCGCTAGGTAGCTAAAAACGCTAACATGGCTTACCTGTGTCCTAGTCTGGTCAAAAGTGGTCTTCAATGGCATTAAAACGATAAAAACGCTGCTGAAGTTAATCCATAGGTTAATCCAATGTGTCTGTGTCCCTTTGAAATGATTTCTGATAATCCAAAAGCAATAAACCTGCTTTTCCGTTTCCAGATATCAGAGCTAGAGTATAGGTTCGCTCTGATGCAAAACTGCATGCGCGAAGCCCCCACCTTTTTGTTTTACAATGTGTGTGAGTGGGGAGATTCCCCTTCGATTCTATTGGCTCTAACGGTCAGAAAGAGATTTCATTCGTCAAAATCGACAAACGGGGGCCAGAGATATGGAAAAACCCCCATTTCCACCCAAATCACCTCAGAGGTGGAGTTTCTTTTGCTAAACCTCTCTAAAAAGGTCAAATGTCACTTGTTTTGCATCAATCTTGATACAGGGTACTTATTATATGTTGTAATTTGGATTCCTAAAGCTGTTAGTCTACCATACCATCATCCAAGGGTAGTAAAAAAGAATTTTTGGAAGGACACTATAATTTACAGTTTTTTACATTACATTACATTACATTACATTACATTACATTACATTGCATTTAGCTGACCCTAACCCTTTTATCCAAAGCAACTTACAATAAGTACATTCGACCAGGAAGATACAAACTTGAAGAAAACAGAATCATATAAGTACATCAGGTTTCATAGAGCCAAAACATTTCAAGTGCTACTCAACTGGCTTTAGATAAGCCAGTCCTTTATTAGTATATAAGTGCTCTGTTAGCAGTTCTTTGTTTGTTAGTTTTACTATGTTCAATCTGAATTTTCTTTAAAATAAAAAACATCTATATTGATTCTGACTTGTGTACATCCAACTCACAGGTTTATCATTACTTTGAGAAAAAATATTATTAATTTTCCCCTTTTAGAAGTGTAGTTATGGTCATTTGTTCTGGAAATGTCATTTTCGAACCTGAGACCTGAACAACAGGGATGGGGTTCAACAGGTTAACCATTATCTGAAGTCTGCTGCTGTTTTGACCATTTGCATAGGAGTTACAACATCGTGCTTTATGGCGAGGGATGCGTTTCCATGGAAACGGCATACGGTGAGATCTCAGATTTGGCGTAGAGCTGTTGAGGCATGGACCGGTGATATACCGGTGAAGATTGGGGGACGATTGGACCGTGCCCATTGGAGTTACAGCGACATCGTGTTTTATAGCGAGGGATACGTTGCCATAGTAACACCACATTACGTAACACCAGATTTGATGTAGAGCTGTTCAGGGCCACAGTGTTAACCATCATGTGATGTTTGGTGGCGTTCTGAGCATGTCAGTTGGAGTTATGACATCATCATGTCATATCTCCAACACACAGGTGTTTGTGTTTGAGCTAACGACGTTATGAAACACCTGTGCTTGAGCCCAGAGATCAAAGGTTTCCATGGTGATCTGAATGAGAGATAAACCTCTTACATGTGAACGTTTGGTTGAAGAACCGTAACAGATATCGGTGAAATTTCAACGCGTGAAGCATGTCAAGGACCCTGAGCTTCTGAAGTGTGCTTTTTGTGTACTTTGGGGTCAATGATGTGGCCTTTTTGGCAGATTAACTAAAGATGTGCGGCTGCTGTGAGGAAAGATCAGGCTGAATTTACAATAGGCCTTAATGGAGACATGTTGAACGTTTTTGTCCCTTCATGCCCTCAAGAGGCATTTTGTTTGATTTTTTTGCTTCATTTTTTATAATTTTTCAAGCTAAGAGATGTTTTCCTACGTTTTTCATAAAAAATGATGTCCAAGGAGTGTAGGGTTTGGGAATTATGGCAGGTTTAAAAAAATATATATGAAGGCACATTTCAAGCTCTCCTCCACTCTAGCTGTGACATCACGCACTCTAGCCTTAACGAGCTGCGCAATACACACTAATGTTCAAATCTGAAGAAAGCCTCTTTACCAAGGTCTGAACAATGTTTAATATTTCCTACTAAACTATAGCTTGGAATTTGAGGTGAATGCAACCGATAACCCTCATTTGTCCCTGGTCAAGAGGCATAAACTAAAGGGACATTTACTAGAATACAATGAATATGAAGGAATTGCCACAATTCTTTAATTTAACACCATTAATCCGAATATAATGGATGTGACACCACTTCCAATACTACAAGACATAACAACAACTGGCCCACAGTGTAAAGTCAGGTCTCAACTTTATTTAATATTTTGCTCAAGAACAGAGTGAACATATACAGATGTTGAAGTGTTACAGGAATCTGATATTGCTTCATCTTTATAACCATCAGCAATATTTCCAACAAAATGGTGTTAACAGTGACTCTCAAACAAAACAAGTTTTACATTTTTTTTTTCATGAGCTATGAGTTCTGCACAAAGAAGGAAATAAACAAATGCTGAACAAAGCAATAGGATATTCCCAACATAATCAAAATGATACATTTAACAAAACAGATATTCTTTGTCTTTTACTTAACCTGTTCCACTCTGAGCCTGTTTTTCAGATCTCAGGCTCGAAAATGACATTCCCAGAACAAATGACCATATCTTCCCTTCTAAAAGGGTTAAATTAATAATCTTTGTTCTCAAAGTAATGATAAACCTGTGAGTTGGATGTAGAAGTGTCAGAATCAATATAAATGTTTTTTATTTTAAAGAAAATTCAGATTTTACATAGTAAAAAACTGTAAATTATAGTGTCCGTCCAAAAATTATTTTTTTCAGATAGTGAAAACTACCCTTGGATGATGGGTTAGTAGACTAAAAGCTTTAGGAATCCAAAGTACAACATGTAATAAGTACCCTGTATCAAGATTGATGCAAAACAAGTGAAATTTGACCTTTTTAGAGAGATTTAGCCAAAAACCCCCACTTTTGGGGTCATTTGGGTGGATTTGACCTATCTCTGGCCCCCCTTGGTCGATTTGGTTGGTTGACATACCCTTGTGACCGTTAGAGCCAATAGAATCGAAGGGGGAGGCCCACTCACACACACGTTGTAAAGAAAAAATGTGGGCGCTTCGCGTGTGGAAAACGAAACCAAAGTGGAGGAATGTCTCCTTCTGGAGTTTGGAAACTAAAACGCAGTTGTATTGCTTATGGATTATCAGAAATAATTTCAAAGAAGGCACAGACACATAGGATGAACCTATGGATTAACTGCAGCATCGTTTTTTTATCGTTTTAATGCCATTGAAGACCACTTTTGACCAAGGTAAGCCATATTTACGTTTGTTAGCTACTTAGCTCCACATGTGATGATGTACGCTTTCGTTTATAGCGTCGCGAATGTTTATCACTGAGTGTTGAGGTTTTTTACACAGATTCAGTGTCTCCAGGACACCAAAAACGAGTGGTTGGCTGTGCATCTAGGATAAGTAATAAGGGAGTTATGAGTGAGTTTAAGTGCCTTTGTAGGTTCCGTTTTTTCGATCGAGGCTAATTCAGAGGCTGAGTGCTAGCATTGTGGGTTTTTTTTGAAAAAAAAAATTAAAAAGATCAGTTAGCTGAGTTTCTTCCCGTTACATGGATATAACACATTCATAGTTTTATTCAATATTAAGATTCCTTAGACGTTGTTTCCTGCAAATTACGCGTTTATCCGCCCGGTACCGGGGGGATGGTGTGAAACAGGTTAAACTATGATTTCATATTTCATCATTATAATGTTGATAAAGCATGTCTAATCTTGTCCTAAACAGAAAAACCCACCCCGCACCGGTTTCATAAGAAAAAAGACTCCTCTTGTATTCTCTAAATATAACTCGCTTTAAAATACTGTTTAAAAAAAAGACAAAGCAAAAGCAATTGGCACTTGAAGTACCTTTTGTCCTAAAATAATGAACATAAATTCAACAAAATAAGCAACTATTTTTTCCCCCATTATGTTTATATGTGTTGTATTTCAACATAAGTTTTGACAGAGCAATTGCCGTGTATATAATGCTTGAGTATATGTTACTACAATAGAAAGTTCCAATAAAGACATATTGTTCAACTGTTCGTAAAGCAGCGGCTTTAAACAGTTTGAGAAAAGGATGAAATCAACATTTACTGATAAACAAAAGTCACTTTTTTATATCGTAATTCTTTCTGGTCCCTCTGGGTTTGAATGCATTTTTTATTCTGTGTGGCACGTTAAAGTTAAAATGGGATGTTAGGTTGCCATTTAAAACTTTAGACCGACCAAGAAGCTAAGAGTTCTTCATCATTGCCTTAGTGGGAGAAGTTGGGAGAAGTTGGGAAAAGTTGACCTCTCAGGTGTTCAACAGGTTTACCCGCTTCATACCAGACAATTACTGTACACAAAGTTAATGAATGGGAACTCTAACCAGAATACAGTGAAGACCGCTCCCCAGAATATACTTAATCATAAAAGCTACATTGTTTAAAGCAATAATAAAACAGTCCCCTGTCCCTCTAGGTTTGAATGCATTTTTCATTTTGTGAAGCAAGTTAACGTCAAAATGTGATTTTAGGACGCAATTTTAAACTTTAGGCAGACCATGAATGGCCGACTGTGTGTAGATGTGTGTGAACGTTAGGCTACTGAGCAGGTGTTTGACAGCCTCTGCCTCTATGAATGTGTGTGAACTGCCAATGTAAAAGCGCTTTGATGGGTCGTAAAGACTGGAAAGGCGCTGTATAAATCCAGTTCATTTACAATTCAACTGGACACAGGTAGGCATAGTTGGAAGTATGATAAGCCCAGAGGCCTGGAACAAGAGGCCCAGTGAATGTGGTGTGAAAGGTGGTCAGGTGACTCAGTGTGTTAAGGTGACTCAGTGTGTTAGAGGAGACTCTGTAGAAGGACAAAGTGCCAGCAGGCCAGTCCAGATACACCCCGAATCTACTGAATAAACCAGAGGGATTTGGTACTTTCCACACCCTCTCATTGGCATGGTATGCCTTAAGAGAGTGGTCTAAGAACCACAAATCTCTGCCAAAACACCATGTTTTTGAATTACAGCCGAACTTGCTCGCATGTCCGTCATTTCTGTCAGCTCCCTTGTATGCAACAGCAGCATAAACAGACTGCCAGCCACTGGTACTCCACTCTACCTCCCAGTAATGGCACCCAGTTAACTCCTCTTTGCACAACACCTGTGAGTACTCAAACCTCTCTGGGTTAGAAGGATAATTCTGCCATGGTCCACATGTTGCCTTTTTGTTTCCGTCAGACAGAGTGAGATAGCCGTTGGCAGTGTTTGGGTCCAGGTTGAGATCACAGGCATCTGATGGAGAAAACATAACAAAATATCTTATCAGTAACTTTGATGGTCAAACTGCATGATAATTCATGTTTTTAACTAAAAAAAGCATGACTTACACCAGATCAGATCTCTCTTGTCTGTGATGGTCTCCACAGAAGAAGGCTTTTGAGGATGAAAGTCTTTATTGACATGCTTGCCTTTCTTGTAGTGATGGATGCTTGCTCCTTTGTAGATGGGATCGGTTTTGGCCGTTATGAGGAAACGGAATTTGCTGTTGTGCTTCAGCGCGTTGGAAGCACCCTGGAAAAATGTGGCTTTTTCTCTCATTGTTTTAAGAACTTCTTTGGAGTAGTACCACTTGTCTTCATGGGTACTTCCTAACTTGGTTGATTTAAAGTAGTCAGCCATCTCATCAAGGTAGCTATCACCCCTTGACATGGAGGTGAAAACAAAGCACAGAACATCCTCTACGCCTGGAGCAAGGACCTCTTTGTCCACCTCGGTCTGGTTCTGGACGATCTTTACTCCCTCCATGGTGTCGACACAGGACCCGATGATGTTGATTTCTATCTCTTTGTGATCCAGCCACTTGTTTAGTTCTTCATGGCTGAATGGTGACTTGTGCCTGTCTTCAAAGACTTTTTCCAGTGAGCTCTCATCTTCCTTTCCTGCTCGGATGGAGGGAAGTATCTTTGCCATGGCTTGCTGGATGTTGGTTTTATAATAACCACACAGTTTTTGGAAAGTGCTTAGGTCTTTTCGGATCTTTGGGAAGTCCTCTCCCTCTTTGTCGTCCAGAGAATTGTTGCTTCTCATTTCTACTTCCTTTAAATCTTCCAGAGCATCTTGGGCTTTCCTCACTAGTCCAATACTGATCCCTGTCATCAGCTCAGGAGCTTTGGGATCGAAACTCTTCAGTGGCATCAGCCAGACCTTCACTGGGACCGAATTCTCCCCATTTTTTCCCAGTAGCTGTGGAAGGTCTACATAGCGCTGTACCGCCGCACAAAATGTTGCTGGGTTGCTTTTAAGAATGAAGTCTCCGTAGAATTTGCAGGAGAATTTCTCAGTCAGGGCTTTCTCTTCATGAGTCAGCTTGATGTCAACCTTCCCCTTAACATCAAAAAAAGGAATCTTCTTTATCAAAGCTTGCATGCTGCCCTCTATCTTCTGAACCTGAGTGGCTTCTAACTTCTCACTATCAAACACAAAGAAAGCATTTGCCCCATACAGGATGCCTGTGACTACATGTGTGGCCAAGCCCTTCTCAATAATCTTCATCTGTTCGGCGCCCAGGGTAACTTGATCAATTGACAACTGCTTGAAGTTGGTGGTAGCTTTGTACTGCAAAGTCACTCTGCTCTGATTCTTGAATTGTTTCTGATCCTTCAGATATTTGGCAGATCCGCCAACTTCTATCAGTCCACTCATGAAACTGGCCTGCAGAGAAGCTTCAATATCCATCATGGTGGACTTTGATTCAATGGTGTCACATTTAGAAATCGCAAAATTACTGTACTGCTGAGGGGTTTCAGTTGTTTTTAGAGTTTCAGCATTCCCTAATTTGAGACCTAAATAAACATAAACAAAGACATAATTAAACATGAAAGAACAAGTTTTTCGGATCAGTTCAGGGCAAAAACTTTTGTTTATATAAATTCACATAAAACATATATTTTCAAAGTTTTTCAGGTTGCAGCTTCATATCCTGTGAGAGGTTTTAATAAGCAAAGTTTGTGTGTGTGAAATAAATTCAGACTTCTGAGAAAGAATTCAGAGTCTTTATTTGAGTTCTAAGATTAAAGTTATTCTAAGAAAAATATTTTATTTTTTATTAGAATTCTAAATTTAAGCTCAGTATTCTAAAACTAAAGATTTCTTGAAAAAAAAATGTTCGTAATAAGATTAAAGTTATTCTGAGAAAAATCAGAAAATCTCAGTAACTGACTTTTTTCTTAAAATTCTTGGTTTAATCACAGAACCCAAAAAAAACTCACTTATGGTCAGATCTTCTGAGAAAAAAGAGACCTCTTCAGAGTATGGAGGAGATCTTACCAAAAGTGATATTTCTTTTTTGTTGTGAGTTTAAAGATGTACTAAATGTACTTATATACTAATGTATAAAAAGTACTATTAGAATTGTCACTTTTTTATTAAAATCCTGAATTAACTGGTGCAGCCCTAATCCTCTCAAGCATTCTTTAAATTAAGAAAAAAATATTTTAAAAAAAGTTCAAGATTCTGATCTTTTATTCTAACTTTGGTCAGATGTTAAACATTTTCAAATATAGCCCTAATTCTCGTTTGTTCTGGAGTCAGTCAGAAAGGCATACTTGTCCCTGGGCAGGCAATATTTAAAAACACAGATTTAAGATAAAATGCATAGAAAATACAATCAATGGACAAAAGCAGTGAAAAATATCCAGATATACACAGGTGCCCGACAAAGAGACAAAAGAAACATCTCTCACAACACACTCAATTTAAAATGGCATTACAACAAAATAATATTAGGCCTGGTGAATTGTTGTTGTAGACTGACTATGATGAAAGCTTTATGACAATGTGAAGTCTTACCTGGGACCAGTTCATCACTCCGAGCATCATAGAGCATCCCTAGGGTGAAAGCTCGTCCCAGAGCAGCAACGTTCATGAGATCTGAGGTCATTTCTACAACCTGTTGAGAAGAAACAGCACAGAATTCAGAACCTGATTCAAACGTCTGTTAAGGAGTAGGAGATTTGAGAGTTAATAACACTTGGAGTCTGACTGTCAACTTTGCTTAGTAATGCAGTATTTCCCTACAGACACTAATCAAGCAGCTGTAGTTTTTATTATAAATCTGTGTTTGTCTGTTAGTCCTCACCTGGTGAAGTTGTGTAGAGCAGCAGAGTTGTGTGAGAGTCTTCTGACTTCCAGCAGGAGCTTCAAGTCTGATGAAATGTGGTGTTGTGAGGTGACTTATATACTGTCAGATACTCTCCTCACCTGACATCCTATCACACATCTAAACACATCTGTCAAAACAGTTCTTAGTGTGACAGGCCTTGGCAAGATAACACCTTCCTGATGTGATAAACAGAAAAACAAAAAGTCCCTTGTACCTAGGAATGCAGAGACACTTCCCTGACACTGATTGATAGTCTTTTCTGTCGACTTCTTACCCCTAGATTCCACCGGGTCCGTCTGCGGTGCGTTACGGGCGCGTTACGGCTTCGCCGCGGTGCTCACGGCTATCGCGGCCACTCTAGTCAATGGGTGTTATTCCACCACACGCGGCGCGTTACGGCTCAGAAGCGGCCCATAAGCGGCTCGGCGCAGGGCTCCTCTAAAATTAGGATCGAATCCTATTTTTGTCGCGGCGCAGCCGTAACGTAAGGTCGGGCAGGCAGGAAGTGGAACTTTCAGAGCATATATAGCATATATATAGATATATACACACACACAAACTAATTTTGCAGACCCTATCCCTCCGTAGTCTTTCAAGTAGGAGGAGAAATGCCAGCGTTCTCCTCCGGTTTACAGGCACTGTGTAAATTATATATATAGAATAATTATGATGATGAATGCATTTTTTTACCACTAAAATACAGCAACACGTCTTTGATTCATGTCGTTTATAACTGGAATATTACAGTTATTATTAACTTTGTCTGTACAAAGTAGCCTGTCCAGGAAATATGCCCAAATCAACAAAAACTGCGAGCCGGCAGGCAAGACGCTCCGCTTCTGAAATGCTTCTGAAACGCACCTGGTAGGGTATGACGCCGGAGGAGGCCGGACCAAAACCGCAACGCGGCGCAGACGGACCCGGTGGAATCTAGGGGTTACATAACATGCTTACAGAAATGACCTTATTTAAAGGTGACATGTGTCCAAGCCATCTGCTCCAAAGAAATACGGGGAAAGCTCTGTTAATAGTTCCATACATACAATCATTTATATATACAAACCCCAATTCAACGAAGTTGGGACATTGTGTAAAACAGAAAAAAAACAGAATACAATGATTTGAAAAGAAAAAAAGAAAAAAATATATTTTAAGATGTTTTGATATTCACTCTTTGAATTTGAAGCCTGCAACACCTTGACTGTACGTTCGTGTGAATGTCAGTGGGCAACATTAGCATGTCATTTTTTTACATTCATTAACGCTGTGGTTCTAGATACGGTGAACCCCCTACAGATGAGTGGACGTCATGCTGAACAAGCTTTTCTCACCATAGGCAGCTAGCCAAAATAAAACCTTTTATCCCCAGACAGCAGTTTGAGACAGTAATCCACGCCTTCGTCACCACTCGGCTGGTGTGACGAAGGTAACTTCGTCACTGTGGACTGACGGCTTCGGGCCTGGTAACTCAGCACTTTAGTGAACAGTTTGCACTTTATTAGCGTGATTGCACAGTACAGTTTGGCATTACATATTTGCACATTTTACATAATTTATACTAATTATTGAGGTAGTATTTATTAACTGATTGGACCGTGTTGATTGGAATGTCGTCTGGCCGGTACTGGTCGGGCCCTCGGCTCCGCCTGAGAAGATGGGGGAGTTGGCGAGAGCGCAGAGAGTATTTGTGCTGGGGTAGAAATGACAGCGGTTGAGAGTAATCAGGGTGCAAATAATATGTTGAGGGTGTATGGGTCATGACTAGAGATGTCCCGATCCGATCACGTGATCGGGGATCGGAGCCGATCACGTGATTTTCAAAAGATCGGAATTGGGAGAAAAAAATCGGGGATCGGAATCTTTTTTCTTTTTTTTTTTTAATCAAATATTTTTTTTATTTTATTTAATGTTACAAAACAAAAATGACCATGTTCACATCTTAAAGTCATCCTGAGGCCTTAGTTTTGGTTTAAAATTACACAACATCATGTATGTGTTGCTTCTTTTGGGCTTGTTTTCATAGACCTGGTTGCTTATTTCTCTCAAATCTGGCAACAGAGTGGGCAGGGCGCAGTGTCTAATAGTAGCAGTAAGCTAACGAGAGGCTACGTTCAGCTGGTGACTCGGGACAGAGAAAATGTCAGGAGTTTGGAAGTATTATAAAATTGAAAGCGAAGGCAGTGTAACAGCCAGATGCAATGTTTGCAAGGCGGAGGTTCCGCGTGGTGGAAAGAACAGAGCTACGTTCAACACGACCAATCTAATACGCCACCTGAGAAACAAACACCAACAACAACACAACGAGTACACAGCGGCCATTCAGGTAACGGCACTGAAACAACCAACACTTTCAGTGTGGATGACCAGCCGTTATCTGTGGTGGAGAACGTGGGGTTTAAGGGACAACTTGAATGCTTTTCTCCTTTTTTTTCTCTTAATGCATTGCATAAAGATTGGATCGGGAAAAATCGGTATCGGCAGATTGTCAAAATCAAATGATCGGAATCGGATCGGGAGCAAAAAAAGGTGATCGGGACATCCCTAGTCATGACGTTGGGTTGCATTGATTGTACGAGTTGCCACTGTGTGGAGTTGACATGTCACTCCCCCATGTCTGTTGCTGCTGATTGTGTGCACCTGGTGCCCTGTGTTGTCTCCTCCCCCCTCACCTGTGTTTAATTGCTCCACCCTCACCTGTGTCTTGTTGATTAATTAGTGTGTGTGTATTTAGGCTCTGTGTTTCCTGTTTGTAATGTGGTGTGAGATCCTTGTGGCTGGTGACTGTGCTCACGGGAACAGCAAGATTGAGGCTGTGTCCTGTGACCGAATTTAATAAATGCCCACACCGGGTTATATTTTTGGACGTTCTGCCTCTGCCTCCTTGCTTGGTCGGGCCGCTCAACGGTCAGTCTCACAGCTGGATTACTGTAACTCTCTTTACATGGGGGTTAGTGGGTCCTTTCTTGCTCATCTGCAGCTGGTGCAAAATGCAGCAGCAAGGCTTTTAACTGGCACATAGAAATATGACCACATTTTCACAATTTTGGCTTCGCTCCATTGGCTGCCAATACATCATAGGATTCATTTTAAAATAGTTGTATTTACTTTTAAATCCCTCAATGGCATGACCCCATCTTTCTGAGCTGCTACACCCTTACACGCCCAACCGCCCTCTCAGGTCAGCGGATCAACTGCTCCTGAATGTGCCCAGAACCAGGTCTAAGCTCAGAGGGGACCATTGCTTCTCTCTAGCAGCTCCCACACTGTGGAACGATCTGCCCATGCACATCAGACAGGCCGCCACACTGCCTGCTTTTAAATCGCTTCTGAAAACCCACCTCTTCTCCTTAGCGTATTGACATCTTTTAGATTGTTGCTTTTATTGCATTTAAAATTGTCTATTGTTTGTACTTGTACTTGTTTTATGGCGTGTGAGCTGAGCTGTGTGATTTTTTGTATGTTTGTTTTTTTATTTGACTGTACAGACCAATACTTTGGTCTGTATTGTATTGTATGCTGGCCCTGGCACTTCACTCTACACCTGAATCTGAAATAGCAGAAAACTGGTTGACATGTTATTTCTGGATTACAGTTACATTTCAACACAATCAAGCCAATGAAGCTGATTGTGAAGCTGGCAGGCCTTTCAGACATACCATGGGTGGTAAGAATCAGAATTAGGTGCTATTTATCACTGCTTCCCCATGCCAAGTATGGCACAATGCACTATACGCACCTGGATGGTGCTCTCAATAAGAACACAACAAGTTAGATGTGGAATACTGGACACTTCTCAAAAACGATATGGTTGCTAGCTAGTTAACAGCTAGTAGTAGATCGGAGCAGAGCAGGTATGTCAGATCCGAGCCAAGGCCACGCAATCGATATCCACACTCTGCAATTTCTTATAATGCAACTCTGATGAATTAATTAATGTTTGTTGGAGACTCAAATGTATTAAACTTGACCAACCAATGTGTGAATTTACTAAATTAACGTGTTCCCTCATTTTTTATCTCAACATTAAATTAAAAAGGCATTAAAGTAAAGATCAAAAACAAACTCAAGGAACAAGGAAGGAGGAAGTGAACAAAAACAGAAAACAAAGAAGGGCCTTTCCCTTCTGATGCTGACACAAGGTCATTTAAATGGTTTCCTCAGACGCCAGGTGTGCGTTGTTAGGAATGCAGCATACCTGCAGAGCTGCTGCAGAGGGAGGGAGGCAGAAACACATTCAGCTGGAACAAAGACATTCAGACCATTTCTGGGAAACAAATACATACTTTTTTTTTTCTGAGTAACTTCTCAAACTGCAGATCATCAAAGAAGATATTTTACAGATCAGCATTCATACATTTTACACAAATAACTTAATTATACAATGAATGTAGCGTTTGTAACCCCATCCCACTATTGCAACTGTAATATCAGATAAAGCATATTTCATAAATGTTAGTAATCTCACAGTATTTTTTATTTATTATTTATTTATTTAGGGTTATTTCACTTTATTTATTAGTTTCTTAGCGAAATCTACTAAAACAAAGTACTTCATTATCTAGTGTTCAGCTTTTATCCACAAAAATGTATCTTTCAGTAACTTTCTGAGAGAATTAAGCATTAATCTGTCAAATGTTCAAAACGGCCTGAAATAGCCTCAAAATCACAATCTGCCATTAGAGTCACATTCTTAAAGGTAGGGTAGGTAAGTTTGAGAAACCGTCTCGAGATCGCTAAAATTTGAAAATACACAACCGGAGAAAATCTGCCACTTCCTTATAGAGCCCCTCCTCCAACACACACGAACGCGCACATGACCAATGAGGGCACGAGATAAGTTTGTGCACAGATGGAAGGCTGACAGGCAGGTAGGCCATCCAGTTATTTTAGCCGGGCCGGCTAAAATGATTGGTCGTGCTTTTTACAGTATTACGGCTTCCACAGATGACATTTTTTTATGGATTTTTTGTCAAAGCACTTAAGATATTCATTGCTATCGGGATGTTAAGAGCATTCCATGGAATACAACAAAAAGTGTATCTCGAGCCCGTTTCTCAAACTTACC